TGAAGGCTTCCAGACTGTTTCTTTTCTCCCTCTTTAGAATCTTTGCAACTCTAATGGTCCTTACCCCGTATCTTGGCATTTGTTTGGGATCTCTCTCTGACTGTTCTCTAGGTGTTTCATGGGTCAAACCTACTCTTCATCTCTAGTAAATAAGGTCTGAAGGGCGGGTTGCAGGACTTTTTTTGAGACAGAGTCTTGCTGTGTCACTCAGGCTGGAGTGCAGTGGCACAATCTCAGATTACTGCAACCTCCTCCTCCTGGGTTCAAGCGATTCTCCTGCCTCAGCCTGCCGGGTAGCTGGGATTACAGGCACCCGCCACCATGCCTGGCTAATTTTTGTATTTTTAGTAGAGATGGGGTTTCATCATGTTGGTCAGGCTGGTCTAGAACTCCTGACCTCAGGTTATCCACCCTCCTCGGCCTCCCAAAGTGCTGGGATTATAGCCATGAGCCACCATGCCTGGCCGTATTCTATTCTAAGGGCTTGTCACAGTGGTGGGCCCACAGCATGTCTTCAGTCAACTCTCTCGGAGTGGGTCATCTGCTCTGGGTGGCCTTGATCCTGTGAGGGATGGAGAAGGTATGCAAGGAGCCCTTCACACCCCTGTGAGTGTCCCACACCCGAGACTTCCCAGGTAGGACCCAGGGTTCTGGGACTAAGCAAGGCATGGAGCTCTCCTGGGCTGTGGCCTGCAGCCTGGCTTTGGCTGCCTTGTGCCCTGGCCCCTGAGCCAACAGGCACAGACCAGGAGGAGCAGTGTCACAAGTCAGGCAGTAGAATGGCCTCCCCCTGACCGGAGGACAGATGTCTAGGGCCTGAGTCATTTCTTGTGGACACATGAGCCATCACTGTCCTTTAGACTTCTGAAGGATCTGCAACCTAAAGGCCCCCAAAGGCAGAGATCCTGAATGGCAAATTTCACTTCAGTGTTACAGAGAACAGGGAGCAAGTGCTCAGAAAAGGTGTTGTTGAGTTCCTTTCCATGCTTGAAACCCTTTCATGTGGCTCCCTTTTGCCCTCGGGATAAAGACCAAGCCCCTTAATATGGTAAAGGCTTCAGGACTTGGCTTATCTACCCTTCCAGCTTCATCTCTCACCATTCCCACCTTGAATCTAGTGTCTACCCAGACTGAACTACTTATTGTTACCTGAAAGAACCATATGGTCTCTCTTAGCCGTGGGTCTTTGGGTATGCTGTTCCTTATCTTGTACCAGAGACTTCCTTTCACCTGTCAGTGAGTCCTTTTTAACCAGTAATTGCTTACACCAGGAGGCCTTCCCAAAGTCTTTGGCTGGATTAGGGATCTTCTGTAAATGCCTGTAGCCATGAGCTTCTTGAAGATAGGGATCAGGACCTCATTTAGCCAAGATTCTGGCAGAAAATCATTGTCAATCAATACTGAATGGACAAACAAATGTGAACGTCTGAGGAAAAACACCTAGCAGGAGAGCTGTAAAGGGGAGTGGAATGTTCTAACGTTTCTGAGTTCCAAGATTCAACATTCTCTGATTCTGGGCTGAAGATTCACACTCAGGCTCTCCTTCATCCGGAGCCCACTCTCCAGCTAGCTCCTCCGCCCTGTGCCCTCTGAGTGTTTGTTCTCAGGCAGGCACACACACATGTTCTGAACATAACCGGGAAAGCAATTTACAAGAAATAATTGCTGGTCGATGTGTGCTTAGGAGCAGCGGTGAGCTCAGACTATTTCTGTCTGCACATCAGCCCACCCAGCTTCCTCCCACTGCGGCTGCCCTGGGGGAGGGGCTCCTATCACACAGGGTGGGCAGTTTGTTTCTAATGCAGGACCCAGACTAGCCAACCCCAGTGACAGCCGGCTCTGAGCCTTGATTGAATTCAAAGGAGAGGAGCTGTTGGGGGGCAGGGAGGAGCTTTATGAGGCCTAGGATGTGTAGGTCAGCAAAAGCAGCACGCACATTCCTTTTCTCCACCTGTTGGGGAAATTCTACCAGGTCTTCAGGGCCTTGCTCAGTGTGCGGTCTCCCCAGACCTCTCCCGCTCTGAGTCCTCAAAGCTTGTCTTTGTTCTTACAGAGCCTGTTGTGCTCAAAGGGTGGTCTCAGACCAGCATCATCAGCATCACCTGGAACTTGTTAGAAATGCAAATTTTGGGAACTTACTCCTGACCTACTGAGTCAGACACTGGGGTGGGAGGCCAGCATTCTGTGTTTTAACAAGCCCTCCACCTAGCTGATTCTGATGCAGCCTCGGATTTAAGAACCACTGCCTTAGGCTGCGGATGACCACTTGAGTGTTTGGAATGCAAACAGCATCTCCCCCTTCTGACTGCGAGCAGCCTAAAGGCGAGGGTATTATCAGATTCTTCCCTGAAACCTCCCAGTCTCCCTTGCAAGGCCCAGCACAGAAAGTGTTCAGAGAAACATTGGATTTTTCTGATGAGGACACCAAGGATACCAAGGACAGAGAAGGGATTCATCCTGTGAACGGTTGCACAGAGCGTCAGGGACTAAACCTCTCAATATCACCCAGCCCCACCCCACTACATATATACAAGTACCCTAAGCTAGCTTGCTTGCTTGCTTGCTTTCTCTCTCTCTCTCTCTCTCTCTTTCATGAAGTCTCACTCTGTCACTCAGGCTGGAGTGCAGTGGTGTGATCTCGGCTCACTGCAAGCTCCATCTCCCGGGTTCACACCATTCTCCTGACTCAGCCTCCTGAGTAGCTGGGACTACAGGCGCCCGCCACCAGGCCCGGCTAATTTATTTATTTATTTTTTATTTTTTATTTATTTATTTTAGTAGAGATGGGGTTTCACCGTGTTAGCCAGGATGGTCTCGATCTCCTGACCTCATGATCCACCCGCCTCAGCCTCCCAAAGTGCTGGAATTACAGGCGTGAGCCACTGCGCTGGGCCAGCTCTTTCTATAACAAGTACCTTGCAGTTCCTGAGCCACACTGGCTCTCTCTCACTGTTGTGAACAAGCTGTATTCTGACCATAATGTTTTCTGTTCCTGTCTCACCTGGAAACTTTGAGTCATCTTTGATGATTCAGCTCAGACATCATTTCTTCCTCCCTAAAGCCCCATGAAGGGCCACCACTGGGCCTCCTGGCCATTTGTGTGCCTGCCTTGTCCTCCACATGAGCCCCTTGAGGGCGAGAACTGTCTGATTCCTCTTGTTTCTGGCAACCTGCACAGGTCCTAGAATAGAATGGACACCACTAAGTGTACAGTAAATGGACAAGGGTGCTGGGTTTTGAGTGCTGAAAATAGGCTGGGTGCAGTGGCTCACACCTGTAATCCCAACACGTTCAAGACCAGCCTAGGCAACACAGCAACCACCTGTCTCGATAAAAAAAAAATGTTTAAATTAGCTGGACACAGTGGCACGCACCTGTAGTCACAGCTACTTGGGAGGCTGAGGCAGAAGGATTGCTTGTGTCAGGAGTTTGAGGCTGCAGTGAGCTAGTCTCCACTGCACTCCAGCCTGGGTGACAGAATGAGACTGGCTCAAAAAAAAAAAAAAAAAAAAGAAGAGTGCTGAAATAAAAGAGCACACACACACACATACCACAACCACCACCACCACCATCAACAACAACAACAAATGAAGCAAGACCAGAACCAAAATCTCTTGACTTCCAGCCTAGAATACTTCTGTGGGTGACTCACCCTGTCTTGCCACCCCACCATGTACCCTTTGGCTTGGCCTCAGGCACAGGTATGTAAGAGTGACTCTTTCACTGTTGCCAAATCCAGCAGCAGGTCATGTCACTGTCTGAAATGTCAAGAGCTGCTTTTGGTGGCTGCTGAGTTGCATCTCCACAGTCCTTGTCTTGCATTCCCAAGATGAAGCCTAAAAGCCATTGCCAAAGTTAGGAGAGCAGCCAGAAGGGAGGGCTGGCAGTCAGCATCTTGCCCTAAGATTCCTTTGCGATCAGATTAATAATAAAAAATGTTAATAATAATAATAATAGCTAACACATAGTGCCTTCCATTTGCCAACACTTTTCTATGTACTTGCATGGACTCAGTAATTTAGTCCTTCCCCAAGCTCTATGAGGAAGGTACTACTATGATTCCAGCTTATATAGATGAGAGGACTGAGGCACAGAGGTTAACTAGCAAGTAAGTGACAGGGGCAGGATTTTAACCAGGCATTTGGCTCCAGAGTTTTTCAGTATTACATAGTTTACTGCTATTGTCCATTTGTAATTTAAAAAGTCTTTTAGCAGGATTACTATGTTATCATCCGTTGGTAATTTAAAAAGTCTTGTAGCAGGCCAGGTGTGGTGGCTCACATCTGTAATCCCAGCACTTGGGAGGCCAAGGCAGGCAGATCACTTGAGGCCAGGAGTTCAAGACCAGCCTGGCCAACATGGTGAAACCCCATCTCTACTAAAAATACAAAACTTAGCCAGGCATGCTGGCACACACCTGTAGTCCCCGCTACTTGGGAGGCTGAGGTGGGAGGATCACTTGAACCCAGAAGGTGGAGGTTGCATTGAGCTGAGATCATGCCACTGCACTCTAGCCTGAGTGACAGAGTAACAGAGCAAGACTCGTCTCAAAAAGAAAAAAAGTTTTCTAGTACTTTAACGTTTATGAAGTGAGTTCAAATCCATCACCTCACTGAACACTTGCAATAACCCAGCAAGGGGACTGAAGCTCAGGAAGACAAGGGACTTTATCAAGGCCACACAGTGACAGGGCCCACGCTCTGGAGCCTGTATTCAGTCTGATAACTATTCATTCATTCATTCATTCTTCTTTTTTGTGATGAGGTCTTGCCCAGGCTGGAGTGCAGTGGCGTGATCATAGCTCATTGCATGGAGTTGTTACTGATCATTTTTTCTAGGAGTCATGTCAAAGTTCCTTGGCCCACAATAGGCCAAGCAGAGCAGTATGGCAGGGTCCACAGCAGGGCTGGGTATCTTTGCTAGAAAAACCCCTCATTTATCCTGCTAGGCTCTAAAGTCCCTTCCCACTCCCACCTTTCACTGAAGAGACTCCAGAAGGGGATGGTGTGGAGACATTTATTGAATGTTTATGGGACTGGTCCACGTGGGTCAGGGTTGGGTACAGAGGCTTCCTCAGGGCTGCCTGGAATGTCACTGGTGGTCACTGTGGCCATGAAGCAATGATGGAGGAGGCGTTTGGAGTTCACAACCTGCCCCTCATTGCTCTCCAGCTGTGGGTTCAAGCAGGGGTAACTCTGCCGGAGAGGGCTCACTCTTGGCACTTCTGCCGCCATGCCTGTGTTCACACCTTGGCAGTCAGGAGAAACCTCTTCAGGGCCTGGAAAATAGCAAACTGAGGGTGTAGGGCTCTCTTCTTCCCCATCAGGATCACACCCCCCAGCTGACTTCTCTGGTGCTTACCTTGGGGCAGTGCATTGTGGTCAGAGCCTCAGAAGCATCATTTGTTTAACATGTATTTATTAACAATACACCACATCATGCACTGACAGCTGTCAGTGTTGCTCAAGAACTTGTAGTTTGGTGGAGGAAACAGACAAGAAACAATCATTAAGAGCTATGAAGACTTGACCTTCACCATAACCCTATGAGGTAGGTACTATTAGAAATCCATTTTATAGATGACAACACAGGATTACCACACAGCTAGTATGGAGAGGAGTGCTGGACATTTTTTAAACATAGATTGTTCTCGCTTTGAGAATAGATTCCATGCTTCTCTTTGTCAAGTGACTTATCTTCTCTCTTCCTCTTAAATCAAAGCTTGAAAGGAAGTCCACTTGGCCTTATTATTCTCTACCTTCCATTCACGACTTGTTCAGCTGCAACTTGCTTGGTTCTGCCCCCACTATACACCTTCAAACTATTTGTCACTAAACCCATGGTCACTTCTAAATCCTCATCTCCCTTGACTTATCAGAAATATTTAACATTATTTATTTATTTTAAATTTTACTTTACCAGTTATAGGACTCTGATTCTTTTTTCCTTTTTCTTTTTTTAATCAGGAGCATTTGACACAATTGAACATTTCTATCTTTCTAGATAAAATTGTATCAAGTGTTCAAGCCAAAAATTCGAGTCATCTCTCACACCTTCTATCTCAGCCCTTTCACAAAGCCAGGTCCTGCTGGTTCCACCTAATAGCCATCTGCAGTATCCACCCATTTCTCTCCATCCTCAAGGCTACCACCTTAGGTCAGGCTTTCATCTTCTTCTGCCCAGACCCCTGGAACAGCCTGCAGTGGGGGCCCTTCCATCACGTCCTCCATGCTGTAGCCAGAGAGATCTAAGATCTTTCTAAGATCAAGTGATCTTAGAAATCTATGTACTAAGTGATCTATGTACTGTTCTTTCTGAAAGCTTTCAATCTCTTTCCATTACCTGTGTTCCTTGAGATGGCATCTCATTGTGGCTTTAATCTGCACTTCCTTAATGACTAATGAAGTTGAACATATTTTCATGTGCTTATTTGCCACCTATATGCCCTTTTAAAAAAAAACTATTTTATTTTGAGATAGGGTCTTGCTCTGTTGCCAAGACTGGAGTGCAGTGGCTAGAATATGGCGCACTACAGCCTTGGCCTCCTGGGCTCAAGTGATCTTCCCACCTCAGCCTCCTGAGTAGCTGGGTCTACGGGTGTGTAGCACCATACCCAGTTTTTTTTTTTTTTTTTTTTTTTAGACACAGGGTATCATTATATTGCCCAGGCTGGTCTTGAACTCCTGGGCTCAAGCTATTCTCCTGCCTTGGTTTCCCAAGTTGCTGGGGTTACAGGCCTGAGCTACTATGCCTGGACATTTTAAAACATAGATTGTTCTCTGTTCCTCTTTAATGAAGTGTCTGTTCAAGTCTTCCGCTCATTTTCTAATGGGATCATTTGTTTTCTTTTTTTTTTTTTTTTTTTTTTTTTTTTTGAGACGGAGTCTCGCTCTGTCGCCCAGGCTGGAGTGCAGTGGCCGGATCTCAGCTCACTGCAAGCTCCACCTCCTGGGTTCACGCCATTCTCCTGCCTCAGCCTCCCGAGTAGCTGGGACTACAGGCGCCCCACCTCACCCGGCTAGTTTTTTGTATTTTTAGTAGAGACGGGGTTTCACCGTGTTCGCCAGGATGGTCTCGATCTCCTGACTTCGTGATCTGCCCGTCTCGGCCTCCCAAAGTGCTGGGATTACAGGCTTGAGCCACCGCACCCGGCCGATCATTTGTTTTCTTAATGTTGAATTTAGGGTGTTCTTTATATATTTTGTTTTGTTTATTTATTTATTCATTTATTGAGACGTATCACTCTGTCATCTAGGCTGGAGTGCAGTGGCATGATCTCACCTCACCACAACATTCATTTCCTGGGTTCAAGCGAATCTCCTGCCTCAGCCTCCTGAGTAGCTGGGATTACAGGCTTGTGCTACAAGACCTGGCTAATTCTTCTTGTATTTTTAGTAGAGACGGGGTTTCACCATGTCAGCCAGGCTGGTCTCGAACTCCTGACCTCAAGTGATCTGCCCACCTGGGCCTCCCAAAGTGCTGGGATTACAGGTGTGAGCCACCACACCCAACCAATCCTTATATATTTTGGATAAAAGTCCTTTGTCAAATATGTGAATATATTCTCCAGTCTGAGGCTTGCCTTTTCATCCTCTTAACAGGATCTTTCACAGCATCAAAATTTTGAACTTTGATGAATACTGGTTTATCTTTTTAAAAATGTATTGTGCTTTTGATGTCTTGTTTAAGAATTCTTTTTTTTTTTTTTTTTTTTTGAGGCGGAGTCTCGCTCTGTCGCCCAGGCTGGAGTGCAGTGGCGCGATCTCGGCTCACTGCAAGCTCCGCCTCCCGGGTTCCCGCCATTCTCCTGCCTCAGCCTCCCGAGTAGCTGGGACTACAGGCGCCGCCACCACGCCCGGCTAATTTTTTTGTATTTTTAGTGGAGACGGGGTTTCATTGTGTTAGCCAGGATGGTCTCGATCTCCTGACCTCGTGATCCGCCCGTCTTGGCCTCCCAAAGTGCTGGGATTACAGGCTTGAGCCACCGCGCCCGGCCAAGAATTCTTTGCATAACCGCAGGTCATGAAGATTTTTCCCTGTTTTGTTCTAAAAGTGTTATAGAGTTTTTTGGTTTACATTTAGATCTTTTTTGAGATAAGTTTTGTACAAGGTGTGGGATCTAGGTAAAGGTTTATTTTTTACTTATGGAAGTTTAGTTGTTTTAACACCATTTATTGAAAAGATTATTCTTCCCCAGTTGAATTGGTTTTGCACCTTTGTCAAAAATCTGTTGGACAACCTTATGACGTCAGTCTACTTCTGGACCATATTTTGATCTATGCATGTGTCCTTCCCTCATCCAATACCACACTAACCTCATTACTGTTTATCATTGTTGTTATACAATAAGTCTTAAAATTGGGTAGTGTGATTTCCTCCAACTTTATTATTCTTTTTCAGTATTACTTTAGCTATTCTAGTTCCTTTGTGTCTCTATATATAAATTTGAGAATTAGCTTATCTATTAAACGAACAAACAAAAAAAGCTGCCATTTTGGCCAGGCACAGTAGCTCACACCTATAATCCCTGTACTTTGAAAAGCCAAGAAGGGAGAATTATTTGAGCCCAGGAGTTCAAGACCAGCCTGGACAACATGGCAAGAACCCATCTCTACAAAAATAAAAAATTAACAGGGTGTGGTGGTCCCTCTCCAATTATGGGGGTCTGAGCAGCTGCCAGCCAAGCCTCAGGGGAACCCTAGGGGCTTCCAGAAGTTACAAGACCTTGGCTCAAGTCCTCATTCTGGTATTAAACATTGTGCTACTTTGTGCCAAACCCTTCTCTTCTCTGGATCTCAGTTACTACTTCATAAAATGGAATAGAAAATATGACTGGCCTAATTTTCTGTTTATTTTTCTGTGAATTCTTTTCCATTGAGCTCCTTGGGAGGCTGAGGTGGGAGGGTCACTTAAGCCCAGGAAGTTGAGGCTAGATTATGCCACTGCACTCCAGCCTGGGTAACAGAGCAAGGCCCTGTCTCAAAAAAAAGGGCGGGTTGCAATTTTTATGTTTACTATGTTGAGTTTTGCAATTCATGAACATAGTGTATCTCTCCATTTTAGGTGTTCTTTGATTTCCTTCATCAGCATTTCGTAGTTTTTTGTATGGTTGGTTATTTTTAGAGATGGGGGTCTCCGTCTGTTGCTCAGGTTGGAGTACAGTGACATGATCATAGCTTACAAGTGAGCCTTGAACTTTTGGGCTCAAGGGATCCTCCCACCTCAGCCACATGCCATCATGCCTAGCTAAGCATTTTGTAGCTTTCTCTTTTTTTGAGACAGAGTCTTGCTTTGTCACCCAGACTGGAGTGCAGTGGTGTGATCTTGGCTCACTGCAGCCTCCGCCTCCTGGGCTCAAGCGACCCTCCCATCTCAGCCTTCCAGTAGCTGGGACTACAGGCACACGCCACCATGACCTGCTTTTTTTTTTTTTTTGGTAGAGACAGGAGTCTTGTCATATTGCCCAGAATGGTCTCAAACTCCTGGGCTCAAGTGATCCTCCAGTCTTGGCCTCCCAAAGTGCTGGGATATTGTAGTTTTTAACATACTGACCCTGCACATGTTTTGTTAAATTTTACCTAAGTATTTCATTTATTTTGGAGTAACTGTAAATGGTATTATTGTGTTTTTAGTTTGGGTTTCTAATTTTTTGTTAGTAGTATATATAAATACAATTGATGCTTGGTTTTGACTTTACTGTAACCTTGCTAAACACACTTAGTTCTTTTTTTTTTTTTATATGGAGTCTCGCTCTGTCGCCCAGGCTGGAGTGCAGTGGCACAATCTCCGCTTACAGCAAGCTCCGCCTCCGGGGTTCATGCCGTTCTCCTGCCTCAGCCTCCCGAGTAGCTGGGATTACAGGCACCCGCCACCACGCCCGGCTAATTTTGTTGTATTTTTAGTAGATATGGGGTTTCACCATGTTAGCCAGGATGGTCTTGATCTACTGACTTCATGATCCGTCCACCTTGGCCTCCCAAAGTGCTGGGATTACAGGTGTGAGCCACTGTGCCTGGCCCAAACACACCTAGTTCTAACAGGTTATTTTGTGCATGTTTTATAGGGGGGATTCTTTGTTATTTAAGCTTTCATTTTAAGGCATTCAAACTGGTATAGGGATTTACTTCAACCTTCTCTTCAATACAAGAATCCCCTTAGCTGAATCCCATATTTAGCCTTTTCCTGATTACCTTCCATGGATAGAGGTGCTTTTTTAAAAAACAAGACAAAACAAACCCAAGGATTACAAATTTGTGAGTGAAATACGGCCAAGAGTGA